GGAATGTTAATTTTTAATCTGAAAAATAATAATCATGCGAGATGTGTGCTAGATTATTTTGACCCAATTCAGCACTCGAACAGTACAAGATCTGTAGAAAACGCAAACTTTTTTGTAGAAAGGAAACGTTTAACTCAAAGTCAACACAGTGTAATTTATAGTAGTACATTATTCTGGAATTCGTTGCCAGTGTCATTAAAAAAATATTACCTCTCGATACACATTTAAAGAAGGTCTTAAAAAGTAACTCTGTAATAAATAACCCAGTATTGACTTATGTAACAATTGTCACTCTCACGACTTTTATGACATATTTTTGATCAGTTTTAAGTATTCTTATATACATTACATTTGAATATTTGTAAGAATATTTCTGATAATTTGACTACTTTATAGTTAGGGGAGGGACATTATGTTTTACTAGCTTTTTTGAGCTATTTATCATGTTCCAGACCATAATGACAAAGCATTATGTATTTAGCATGTACCCTATTGTATTTACTTTATGGTGAAATAAACTATACAATACAATACAATTATTATGAATACACACCGTCATCGAGGCACAGTCAACAACACAGGTAAACAGAATAACATAAGGGCCCCACTGGTGGATGATCGCGAAACTAACCGAACTTACACTCAAAGTACAGACATTGGCTTCAGCGTGAAAGAAGCCCTCTCTCAATTATTTCTTTTCTTTCGAGACCTAGTTCCGGTTTTGTACCATCATTGCAAGGAAAATTGATGTATCACATTAATTACCAAAACTGGGTTTAACTAACATGGCAATCGTAGACCAGTAAAGGTAAATAGAACCACAGGCTTCTAGACTTGATCACATAACTGCAATAACTTATTACCACAAGGATAATATTATAATTGATTATTTGCATGCCAAATAATCAGCTCTCTAAGTTGAGTTTAATATTCCAGTCCACCAGAAACCGACTTTAAGTGCGTCAGGCACACCTAACATATGACTATATTTATTTGTACTTGTAAATCAAGTAGTAAATTATGAAGGATCACACAATGCATAAATGTAATTTATCCCAATCATAATTGTAGTTCAATGTACTAAAAGAGAATTTTCGGCAGTCTGATTGATCCACGTAATCTGTGTCTTGTTATTACAACCCTGCAGCGAAAATAACTTGTGAACACTACGTTATTTGCATTCTGTGTTTGTCTTTCATGCACGACAACGAAAATCTGGCGAATTATTCTTACATACCCGGTAAGATTTATGCCATCG